CCTTTTCTGCTTCCTCCTTTCCTCCTCCGGGAGGCTTTGCCCGGGGGTGAAGCTGCCCTGCAGGGCCTGGGACCAGGGGGAGGCTTGGGGCCTCTTCCCTTCTCCTTCCCTGCCAGTAAAGCAGCAGCAGGAGGAGGAACCTTTGGGAGGCTTTTTAGCCAGAACTGGGCAAAGTGGGTGAAATGGGGATTTCTGCTCTACTTCCTGAGGGTTTGGGTGGGACTTTTGGAAGCTTCCAGTCGGTTTTAGTGGTGCAAATTTCTCATATTGAAGGAACAAAACATAAGTCCTGCAATTGTTGTGAACTGTGATTAAGAGATTGATGCCAAGGGGCTAAATGAGCCGGGAATTCAAGAGCACTCGTGTTTAAGGCACCTTTATATGGGTTTTAACTCTTATGATTCTCAGTTGAGACAAAGTATGCTTCTTATTTGTATTTATTTTTATGCCTTTATTATTTTTACAAATGCAGGTAGTCCTTGACTTATGACCACAGTGACCCCAAAATTTCTGTTGCTAAGCAAGGCAGTGGAGTGAGTTTTGCCCCATTTTAGGACATTTTTTGCCATAGTTGACAAACAACTCACTGCAGTTGTTAAGTAAATCATGCAAGTAAATCAGACTTTGCTTTTGGGAAGCCAGATGGGAAGCTTACAAATAATGGCCACATGATCCCAGGACAATGAAATTGTCATAAATACATGATGTTTGCAAGCACCTGAATTTTGACCACATGACCCATGGCGATGCTGCAAAGATCGTAAATGTAAAAACTGGTCCAAAGTCACTTTTTCCGGTGCCGTTGTTAACTTAGGACTGTCATTAATGAATGGTTGTAAGTCAAGGACTACCACCCAAGGTGGTGAACATATCCAGCACACCTTCCTCTTCCTATTTTCCCTGCGACAACAACCCTGTGAAATGAGGTGGGCAGAGAGAGAGCCACTGGCCCAAGGTCACTCAGCTGGCTTTCATGGATAAAACAGGACTTGAACTCACAATCTTTTGCTTTCTAGCCTGATGCTTTAACCACTAGACCAAACTGGCTCTCTTTGGGGAGCCAAACTCCTATGATTCCCAAATGGGACAATACATTGGGAAGAGTAGAGTATGCTTGCTAAATTGAACTATAAGCATGGACTCCTTTCATGTGGCTGCAACTACCAGTGTGTAGTCAGTGATTATTACATAGGGTTGGATCTGTGGCCAAATCGAATAATGCAACATTTGAAAGTTATGTAGGCTGTCTCCAGGCTTCTATTACTTTCACTGGGAAAGAAATATAACAAGGCTGAAGTTGTAGTTGTATGGAAAAAAATGTGGCTAGAATGGTTACAGAGTACTATTTATTGGTAAATAAAATGTATCCATTGCCTCCTAATACTTGATTTCAAGTGGATTCCAATGATGTTGACACCCAGTCCTTTTTCCTAGGAGCACAGCCAGCCTCTCTACTGGGACCTGCCCCGGGTCTATTAAATCCTCCTATTTCAGCAGATATCATTCAAGCAACCCGCCATCTTCAGGTAGAGAATTCATTGGCTTTCTCTGATGGGTTTCTTAGTTGCCAGGCGGTGATATCCTGATATTCTTTCCTTCTCTTGATATGGGACAATTTGGGGATTTTACTTCTACAAAAAGATTCTAGTTACAAGGTGATTTTAGTCACTTCTGATCTTGTGCCAAGAACTTTATATTTTGGAAACAGGAACTCTCTTAGGCCGAATCTCAGCCAGAGGTGAGGTAAAAACCCTCTGGAAATCTCCATCGCTCAGTCTGATATTTCAGGCACCTGGCTTTAACTCCTTCTGGCTTTGATAAAAGTGGAGGCACAGATGATTTTTAACTATAGGGAGAAGCTGCAGCAACGGCAAAGGTGAAACAGCACAAATATATGGCCTGAACTCTTCATTTCCTGTGTTTTATTTCTCTCCCAAGACTGTCACAAGACTCGTTGTGCAGGTCTTCATGCGCATTGTTGCAGAAGGTGCATGTTTATGCTTAACCTGCATAAAATGCTTCAAGTGTGACAGAAAAAGGAAGTTAGAAGTTGGGTTATTCAACCTTAAAAGGAAGAGCTGTACATCTGAGTAGTGACTTAGCATTTAATTGTCCATGGCATTTAGAGCCGGTGTTAAAGAGCCGATGCAGAGGGCATAAAGTGGAGCTGATTGACTAGGAAGTGGGTAAAGGTTTGAGGTCCTCTCCACCTAAAAGAGCCCCCTGGATGGCTCAGAGTTCCAAAGAACAATAAGGAAAGTGAACTAGGCTCATGCAAAGGTACCACTTGCAGCGTTAGGGAACGTACTGGTTGACCTCGGACAGCGTGGTCATTATCAGAGGAGAGTCGTTTGAGCTTATTCTAGGCCAAGTAATTCCAGTGCTTTTCTCTGCTTTTAGGGAGGAGAGAAGCAGCGTGTTTTTACTGGCAATTGTCACCAGTCTCCATGATTATTTTGGCGTGGTGGATGATGAAGTTTTTTTCCAGTTAAGGTGAGTAGAACGGGAGCAGCAGAGACAGAAGTGGGCCTCAAATGGCTGCTCGAGGACAGTGTAACGTTGCCACTCTTCAGCCTTGGAAGGAGCAGTAAAGGGGCTGCGTCTCAGGTCTGAGGATCACCTACTCCTGGCTGCTTATAGCTGTTGCTTCTGCTGTTGGAATTGGGTGTAATCTACTACAGATCGTTATACGTCCTGCTAGAAAAATGCAAGTAGTCTAGGGAAAAAGGTTTCCAGCTAAGCTTTCCTGTGCCAGCTTCTACTTGGAAAGCTTTAGAGCATTGAAATATGACCCCCCCCCCACTTCTTTGTGTGCTTGTGAAGGAAGCATACCTAATACACCTCCAGTGAAAAGATTGATCAGAGAGTAGGCGATGGAAGGAACTTGGCCTGAGATCACAGAGAACTAGTGCCAGTCAGGGAAGGCAAATCAATACTGGAGTCTAAGCCATTTCTTATGAAGTGGAACTGTGAGGTTTCTCAGAGGCTGTGCCCACAGAAATAATAAACTTCTCCTGTCTTTTCTTCCTTTAAGCGTTGTTAAAGGCCGGATCCCACAAATTGGTGAGAAAGTGCTGGTGAAAGCTGTTTACAACCCCAGCCAATCGGTGCCCTGGAATGCCTTGAAGGTCCAGACCTTGTCCAATCAGGTAGCAGCCAGTTTTGCTCTTCAGGTGGATGAAGCGATTCCTTCTTGGTATTTGGGCTTTGGTTTCTGTCATGGTGCTAATCTTATGACCTGGGGCGTCAATGCTTTTGTTTAGCGCTTTGCTGTGACTTGTGGCAAAGCAGTGGAAGGTATCCTAGTTAATGTGGCAAAGAAACCAGATGGCAGGGAATGTTATTGTGGGTAAGACAGAGTAATTTAATAAGCCATCTGTCAGCTGCCACCTTTTGTGTGCTTGTGACAGAGTGCCATGAACTGGGAAGGAGGAATGAAGGGGAGGGAATGCTTGGGAAAATGAAAGTAAGGGCTGTGCTTTCTTGAGACGCTGCCTCAAGGTCACCCAGCTCAAGGAGGAGGGGCATTCCAAACTGCCCTTGGACCATCTGTGATGAAAACATCAGGGTTACACCAGGGTGGGCCATGAGAGACAGTTGAGGGAGGGAAAAGAAGTTAGGGAGTTTGGCGCATGATTCCCAGTTCTGGCTATACACTATTGCAACACACTTGGTCTCTAATAAACTCTACCTTTTTCAACAAATGGAGCCAAGGATTGTTTCTATTTACGGCAGGGGCGTTAAACTCAAGGCCTGGGGGCCAGATCGGGCCCATGGGGTGCTTCGATCTGGCCGGCGGAAACAGAGAAGTACTGGCCCAGGGGGCCTCTGCCAGCAGAAACGGAGCTTGGGAGGGCCACATGCGAGACCCTCCCGAGCTCCGTTTTTGCTGGCAGAGGGTTGCAGGAGGCCATCGCAGGCGAAAACGGAACATGGGAGCCCATTTTTGCTGGCAGAGTGCTCAGGCCACCACGGGCACCCATCCTGGCCATGCCCACCCCGGCCCCCTGAGGTCAAACACAACCCTGATGCGGCCCTCAATGAAATCGAGTTTGACAGCCCTGATTTAGAGGGTTAAGTTGGGGTTGGTCCAAAACCATCTTTTCATTCATGAAACGTTTGTTCATGCACGGTTTGGAAGTTTTCCAGTAAGCAAAGTTACTTTTGTTACGAATTCTTCATTTATATATATATATGTTTTCTTAAGTTTTCGCAGGTACTTACATGTATGGTATTCAGCTTTGTTCGGGTATTTTCCCACGTCATTGTAGTTGTGCTTTTAAAGTTGTAGCAACATTTCGGCAGAATCTCATCTGCCATCATCAGGCAAATATATATATCTATTTCTCCCCCCCAGCATCTTCTGAAGCCCCCCACTCCTCTGCTCCATGTAGCTTCTTTGGGACAGAAGCAAGGCATTCTGGGGGCTCAGCCCCAGCTGCTCTTCCAGCCACACCGGATCCCACCTCTCTTTCCCCAGAAACGTAAGTGTGACTGCATGTTGTGCTAGCGACACAGCATCGTAGGGTGAAGAAATCCGATCGGAGGTGGAGTGTTAAATGTTAAAATCTTGAGCCCGAGAGGCGTTATCCTGTGAGGAAGCTAGAGGGACAAACTCTTTCGGAAACCAGATGGAAAATGTGAAGCCATGGCTTATTTTCTAAGTAGCTTTTCCCTATTAATTCTGATTTATGGAAGGGAATAATGTAACAAACAGCTTTTCTAGACCATGAGAGAAGTCTGTAATCCTGGTAAATTATCTAGATGGGGCTGTGGTGTTATTTGGGGGCCATGGTTGCCAAAAAAAGAAATTGAAGGGCATTTTGGGACATCTGTGATTTTTGTCATCCTGGTTTCTCCTCACGAGGTGGATAAAGTTGCACGCATCCAGGTGCGTGTAACCTGGAACCAGCGATAGCTGATCTGGCGTGTAAGGCCTAGAAGCAAATCGGTTCTCCTTGGAGGAGGAGAAAATAAGGCTGAATGTGTTTCTTCTCCAGCAATGAGCCTCTTCCAAACGTCTCCATCGCTCCATTTGGGCCACCTTGGGAGATACGCCGGTCGAGGTCCTAAAGGCAGGCAGGAGTCAGGCAGATGGTAAGCATCCTCACAACGGGTCATTTTGTGTTGGCACAGCATCCTGCCTGTCGCACCGCATCGTGTGAGTTCCCACTTTCCCAAGGAGCCTTTCTTGCCCCTTTTTTCCCCTGGAGGATGTTTTGCCTTTCAGCTGGTCTCTCAATCCGTGGGGTGCAGCTTCCTGTACTTACCTGTCTCTTGCCTCTGAGCAGAAAAGCTCTTCACACAAATCTAGCAACCTTCCCTATTTCCTGGGGAGAAGATTTCTCCTTCTAGAGGCAGGGTGGTCCGCTTTTCTTAGCAGCGATCCAGGATCCCTTGTCATGTTGCTGCCTGACACATTTCAGTGGAAGCTTAAGGGATCCAGCCTAGGATCTTTTCTATGCAGAGCATATTCTTTCCCACTGAGCTCAGGTGCCTTGTTTCACGGGGTCCAAGCTTTTCCTCCCTGGCGTTCCTTTGTTCCTTTCCACCCACTTTCTATTTTAGAGAAGGTGCAGAATGGTCCTTAAGGGGTTTCTCCGTGCTTTTCCCTGCTTCACGTGGGTTTCTATACATTTCTTGTTGTCCCCATAGGGCAACAGTTGGTACACAGAGCCCCAGGTAGTATAGATGAGTGGGTCCCACGAAGGAGGTGGGTAGGGAGACCAAAGACCAAGGAAAACTCCCATCTCTACTCTGTGGGCTTTTACAGATGGCCGTAGCTAACCCAGAATGCTTCCCAAGGTAGATTTCATGGAATGGTCCAGCAGGGTTGGGCTTTGGTTCCCATATTATTTAAAACTGCCATGGCAACTGACCAAAACCTCCCTTTGGTTCAACGCTGAATAGAAGACTCCTGCGATAGGAAACCAGTCTCAGAAAAGTCATTCACGGAGAGCCCCCTCAAAAAGCATAAATTCTGACCAAAATGGCCACTTTTGTGTGGGTGCAGTCATTACATGTCCTGTATGATTGCTTTCCTCAGAGAAGACAGTTTACTTTCCGTGTAACAAACTGGTTGGAGATCCACGTTCTCTCTTTCTCTCTCCCCCTTCCGAGTTGTACCGGAGGTTGTATTTGCCGAGAACCAAACAGGATTTCAGTGCAGCATGGAACTGTGGCCGAGGTGACCAAATTGTTCTCCATTTTAGGGATGACTTTGACTCCAAGAAGAGGAAGCAGAAGGGTAATGAGCCCTGGGTGGCAAAGAAGCCGCGGCACGAGCCACCCCAATACCGAGTCCAGTTGGCCTGCTATACTGTGAATAGGTAAGAGCAAACGGGAGCCTTGTGATTGGCCGCAAAAGCAGGGGAGAAAGAAATGGTTGCTGTGCATGAGTTATATGAGGTCAAGTGAGAGACCTCCCGGGGGTGGTATTCTACTGGTTCGGCCCGGTTCGGCTGAA